CCCCCCCCCCACCATATCCGGAATAAATGGGGTACCTAGGTGTGCAAAAACGTTTTTTCGTACACCCTTGGCCACTCTACCAAAATGACACGATCAGTGGTCAAACAAAACGACATGTGTGTGAGGCACACGTCTTCAGTATTGACGTCAGAAATGGTTCAGCAGGTCCTTCGTGCAGTATAAAAGGCCGAGTGGAAACACTGGAAAACACACGTACAGTCGGGTCCCGGTGTAGCGGTCCATAGTGTCCCGAGCTATGACACCCGTTATTCAGGGTATCGCCGCTAAAACTCATTTGCGGTTATGGACCGACAAATAAACCAGGAGGCTCAATAACAGCGGAGGCTCAACATTGGGTTATGAACCGCAATTCCCGGAAAAAGGCCATTTTTTGCGCGAAACACGAGCAGCGTCGTAAGCTTGTCTTGGTAGGGTCATGCATGTGTTTCATTGTACCAGCCGAGCCATAGATACGAAGGTTGTGTACGGAGTAGATGTTTATATAGGGAAGACGAGACAGCATACATTGCTGCATTTCAATTGACGAAAACACAAAAAAATGTTTGTTTTGTATTTTGGACTGTTTTATTCACGTCTTACACCGATTCTATGGGAGCACAATGTTGCGAAAAGAGTCGAAGTTTCCAAACTTTTCTCGTGACGTTTTGTCACGTACGCTCTTTATGGGAGAAAAAGGTTGCACCAAACGTTTTGAAACTTTTTCGTTGGACAAAAATCGCGCGATATGGAGCAAAAGTTCGCCACGAAGCTGTTGAGCAAAAGTTACACGGCGAGACTTCCGCTAAGCCACGTCAAGCACCTAGCCCTACCACACACGTAGACTCCCTCTTCAGCTTCGATTGGAAGGCACCGGGTTCCCCGATATTTCGACGAATACTAAACGAGTTGCCTCATGAATGTATCTGGAAGGACGTGATGCCTTGGGCTGTTGGGCAATGCCAAGGATTGGTGCCGGGAGGCGCCGAACGTGACGGGAAAAATGCTTGGCTTGACGCACAACCGTCAACGTCCGCGAGTTTTTCTAGCGCCACGGGTTTGGTTTTCCACCGTTACCATTCCGCAGGAGGAAGCACCAGCAATTGTACCAAGGCCACTCCGCAGGAGGTAGTTCTCTGCTCCATCTTACATGCCCGAGGTGGGGGTACCGTGAGGTATTGTGCGCGTCGGGAAACATGTTTTGGTTGACCCTAAAATACCCACGTCAGCGAGGGGTTGGTTCAGGTGTGCGGGGATTGTGTGCTCATGGATTAGCGTTCCAGCGATAACTTTTCGGAGGAGGAAGTAACAGCAACAGCAATGAAACTCCGAGGGAGGTAGCTCTACCCAGCTTCTTTCTGGTACCATGTTAGATGCCTTGGGGTATCGTGCGTGTGGAGAAAAAAAGTTTGCAACTACCCTCTCCCGCACGCTCTGGCCGGCTTCTTCACGGTGTGGTATGAAGTGGTGTGCCTACTTCTCGACCGATAGGTCAAGCCTCCGCGTTCCGTCAGTCCCGTGAAGAAAACTTCCTTCGCCCCATAATGAGCGTCCACCAAAAGTGTTTCCGACAAAAGTTCCCGACCAAAGGTTGCAAGAACACATTTTTTCGCAACTTTGTGCTCCCATTAACGGCGGTGGCAGTATACACGTAGTGGGCTGTCCCACGAGCAATGTGCTTTTTTTCCCGCGTGCAGCTGTACAGCGCGAACTGGCTTCTTGCGCGTGCCTGGTGCCAGAAAGCCACCACGTCTTTGTGCTTGATTGGGTGGAAATGAGACGCATGGGGAGGTCTTCGCCGTCCCGGTTGCACATGGATGGCACATATGGTGCATCTCACCGCCAACCGGATCCTCTACCCCCCCATACACGCTGTGCATGCGGTCATGTGGCCACCACAACCATCTTTTATGTGCAGCGGTTGGACCCAGTGCCGTATCTGGAAGCTTGCGCAACCCTGCATCAAGCACCGCCTGGTGGTTATTTATTGTATTTCGCCATATGTGGTGTGAGTGTGCAAGTGCAAGCACGCGCGGGGTTTCCGCAAAAATTGAATCGATAGGCGCTATCTTTGTGGCTGAAAACGACTCCAAAAGCCACTATTGGGGGTACGACCCTTCGGTATAGTTAGTGTGCCATGAAATTCTGGAACCGCTAGTCATGGCATCCAGCTAAACAGGGAACCACTACAATAAACTGGGATCACGAGTGTATTTTATTTGTACCCCAACTTGCTCGATAATCGAACAATCTACACTTACTCTAGCGTAGACTAGCTTAGCGGGCGAGTCCATTGCTCGGTTTTGTCTTCCCCCTCACGATACAGCAAACGTGAGTACCAAACTTCGACGTTAGCGCCGTTGACGAGGGAAAGGGACGGCTGGACCCTCCTCGCGATAAAAATATAATTTAGCACGCACCGCAGGAGGAAGGTGGAGCATGAAAATAAATAAAAAGAAGAAAAAAGCCCTGGTGTTTACCCCCTCTTGTGTGACCCTGGATGGTTGTAGTTGTACGAAAAAATACACTGAAAAGTGTAGTACTCTAGGCTACATAGTATTATATACGCTGAAAAGTGTAGTACACGTCTCACCACGAAAAATGGGGGGACTGTCGCCATAATAAATAGGTCGAAAAAAAAAAAACACACACACACAGCAACAACGGTGTTACAGACCACGAGTGACTGCAGGGCAGCGCGAGTTACTTCATTTTCACCATAATTGGATCTCACCTCGTCGAAAACAACAACCTGAAAGCGCGCCCACGCGAGACGGGTACGTTCCTTGCCTTGTACAGCGCAGAAAGCATCCGGGGTTGCCACGAGCACGTCGAACGACTTCTTCTGCAACTCGTCGCCACCCCTGAGCTGTGCGATCCTGCGGCGGAAAGTCCATGCGCGGAGGACTTTCGCTTGCTGCTTCACCAGGTGGCGTGTCGGCACGAGGAAGAGCGCACGGGGGGGGCGCTGTTTGATTACCTCGGCGGCGATGATGGTCTTGCCTGAGCCGGTTGGCAGCACCACCAAAGTGTTGTCTCTCTCGCATGCCCTCGCAATTCTCGATTGATAGGGACGAAGTGTTCTTTCCGGACTGGATGCCGAAGGAATGCTATGGATGAAAGACACCTCGGATGTTTCCGAGGGCGGCGCGTTGGTCTCGGACCTCAGCGCCCGCGCCCGAGTCATGCTGCGAGTCTGCACTCCGTGGAAGCGAGGCATGGTGCAGAACCCGCTCTATTGTATTCTTGTTCCAACGGCGCGTGGTGGGCAAGCGCGGGGTGGGCTATATCTACAACAATACGCTGCTGCTATTGTGTGCAATCAGCAGCAACGTGGCAACCCAGGAATACCGGGTTTAACTACGGTGTATCACGTGGCTGAGAGTTATTGCTAGCGCGAACAAGCTGCGCGTCATCGCACGACCCGCCCGAGGACGACGTGGAAACATGAAGCGCGAAAGATCTACATACCGAAAGATCCAGAACCAAAGTGGGGGGTGGATGATATTTATTTCCCCTTCGCCGTCCCCCTTGACCTCATCTTGTCATCTTTTCATCTTTTTGTGGGAGTCAGCGCTGTTTTTCAAACCTCTGCTGTTCGCGCACGGCAGCACCCCCAAAGAGGAGTCAGGAGAGATAGAGAGTAGAGAAAAGAAGAGCAAAGCCCACACGTAAAGGATGCCGAAGCGCAAGGCTGACGAGGTGAGACTACACGGGAACTGCTATTGGCACACAACCAACACAACACCGATTTTTTCAAAATATGCCGACATACCAAAACGATCCTATTTCTCCATCTCCACACCTTTCCAAAATGCACAGATCAACACCAGATTTCAATAGCGCTCTCATAGACCATGCCCTCATGCTCTAGAGAAGTGCTTATTTGAGCCTGGACGTAGCTGGAGTCTGAGAAATATTTCCACATGTACACAAGCACGGCGGGTTCTTTGCCAGGCCGTACTCTTTGAACGCTTGTTTCTTTGGAAAGAGCGCCGATACACGTGACAATAGGTGGCGTCTTGACCTTCAGCAAGTGCTCCCTCATGTCTTGAAGCGACGAACAGCAACACTGTAAAACCAGACCTTCAATGGGCGCGTGAAAGAGAGAGAGGGTTCGCTGAGAAGAAATGCTGCTGGTGCTTCGGTCCTGAGACATGTCTTTCGTTTTTGCTTCGCAAGATACCACCCCTCTCCAAGCCATTCAAATTTACCCAAATCCCTCCGCAACGATAACAAGTGTCGGCAGGGCAACGGGAGTTGAGACTGATTGCTTCAGGAAGCCCCCCGTCTCAAGAGGTTTGTAAATGTAGCAACGACTGGATGTGCGTACATTGCGATCTGCGATAAGGCAAAGCAGCGATACTGAATCGTGCAGGGGGTGCGAGGCGGATGTAGACATAAGAGCGAGCATAGGGAGAGAAAGCATGGGGACCGCAAACTGCCACCATGCCCATGCGAACTCTTTGGATTCATACCCGTCATCCGAGGGGGGGGGGGGGGGGGGGGCCCCCCCCCCCCCCCCCCTC